TAAGCTGCTGAGCTATCTCCCTGGCCCTTTTCTTTAGTTTTCTGAGATAGGGTCTTGCTATATAGTTCAGGCTGCACTTGTGTTCACTATTCAGCCAGGCTGCCTTTGAACCCGTGGGGATCCTCCTGCCTCAGCTTCCGAAGTGCTGAGATTACAGGTGTGCACCACCATGCCCAGCTCTCCTGAGTCTTTAGTTTCACTATTGTGGCTGCCTCAGTGTCCTGAATTGATTGTACGTTACCTTTCTGAGTCACTTTGACTTTGGGGAAGAGTCTGAAGTCTCACCACGCCAGTTCCGGTGAGTAGGGTGGGTGAGGACACCCCATCCCAGTTTCACACTTGGCAGCAGCAGGCCCTGTAGTTTTGATGACACCTCGTAAAAGGCTGCAGGAGGACTTCTGGGACTGCTTCAGAAAGAGGCAAGAGCGAAGGGGTAAATGTGCTCACAGGAACATGTGCAGGGGATGGATGAGTCGCAGCGTGTCTTACTGTAATAGAAATTTTAATGCAGACAGTCACTGTATATGTTGCTCAGATCTGATACATGTATGTGGGTATGTTTCTTTGTGTGTGTGTGCATGTGTGCACACATATGCACCCAGGCATGTGTGAATAACAGTCAGGAGGGATCGCGGTGACAGATTTAGGTGCTGTACCACCTACTCCCCTCACCCAGCCCGCCTTTCTTCCAGTTTCACTGGAGCAGACTGTCTTGGGTAGGATCGGCCTCAGAGGCAGGCAGGGTCCGGGCACTTTCAGGTTTAGGTTTGGTGGCCTTAGTGCCAGGGTTGGGCTCCTGCCCTGGGAAGTGACACTGGAAGGAGGTCCCTGTGCAATGAGCAGTCTTTGAGTACCCATCCATGCCAGGCTCCCAGGTACAGTAGCCCCAGCCAGCGGGCTCAGAGAGCAGCCCAGACTGCCAGGAGCCAGGAGGAAGTCAAGACTCTGGGTGACTCATTCAGGGTGGGGCACAGGCAGGGAGCCCGCTGTGGGTGGTTGCTGTCTGAACAGGGCCTGTAGGGGACATATGGGATTATTGTCAGTAGAAGCAGAACATAGTTAGGGGACCTGGGATGAGAATGGCCTCTGAGTCTTCAGCCTGAGCTCACCCTGTGGGTCATTGTCCTGATGGCCTCCAGCTGTTGGCACCAAGCTGCATGCAGGGGAAAGACAGCTGGTTTACAGGCCTGCTTGTCACTTGTGGCTGGGGCCACATGGCCCCAGACAGTCACAACCCCAGGCTGCACTAGGGAGGAAAAGCAAAGGCAGCCACCTTCCCCTAGACCGGGAGAGCTTGCCCAGGTGTGCACAGGCTGGGCAGGAGCCGTTGTAGCTGGCATCTGTCCTGACTGCCTTTTCCAGGGTAACTTGTTGGTCTCAGAGTTACAATTGTTAAATATTTTGCTGATCTGGGTGCAGTGGTGCATGCCTGTAATCCTAGCACTCAGGAGGCTGAGGCAGGATTGCAACAAGTTGGAGGCCAATATGGCTACATAGTAAGTACAAGGCCAGCTTGAAAAAATTAAAAAAAAGGGAGGGGTTTGGAGGGTTGGGGGTGATCTCCTTGTTCTCTTTCCTTAGAAGTCCAGAGAGATTAAGGCCCTTGCCTGGGTGTGCACAGCAGGCAAGTGATGGAATGAGGACATGAAACCGGGCCTCTGACTCAATGGGCTTATCTGGGGAGAGGCCTGATGGTTCAGTCAGTAAAGGTTTATTGAGCTGCCTCATGCGATTGCAGCCGCTGGTACCACGAGGCACAAGCCAGTCCTCAAGTCTGACCTAGAAGCACTGCCCCCTGGTCACTTCACGGTGATGTCCCCCTGCAGGGCTGCAAGGAACTCTGGGCAAGTGCGTGCATACCTCCTCCTTTGCTTGTGTAAACAGTACATGCCTGCATGTGTTTGCCTGCCCTTGGGGTAAGCTCTGAGCATGCGCAGTCTCACAGAGGCGGCCGCTGACCCCGCTGCCTTCGAGAGGGAAGACCTGGACCCAGGGACAGACACAGTGATGGCTGCTGCCGCTGCTCTGTCCTGCTGGATAGCCCCTCATGTCTGAGACAGGAATACTGTGTTTGTCAGCTGCTCTGTCCTGCTGGATGGCCCCTCATGCCTGAGAGAGGAATACTGTGTTTGTCAGGGTCCAGGCCTGTGCCCCTTTTCTGTCTTTTCGCTCTTCTTTCTATTCATTTGCTGCTGTTGTCTCTAGGGAGGCGCAGAGTGGCATAACCCAGAGCCCGAACCGCAAACTCAGACAGGATCTGGGTTCAAATCCTGGAGCGGGGGTGGGGAGGTGGAGAGGGTGTGCTGAGCCCTCCTTGCCTCTCTTCTGCACAGTGCCCCGGGGAAGAGATGACTTGGATGGGTAGTGGCAGGTGCTGCTGTCTCGGGCCCGGCTCCAGAAGGACAACCCGAGCAGCGTTTCCGCTGCCGAGATGTGCGGGCGGGCTTCCAGGAAGGGGGCAGTTGGCCTCTCAGCTGGACAGCCAGTGTCCCCAACACAGTGGCCACGGGGAGCAGGCCAGTGATGGGAGCTGCGTGAAGCGAGCAGCCCGGCCAGCCAGCACCGAGGCCCTGGGAACTGTAAGGCCTTGTGCTAAAGTGCGCCAGGACGCCTGTGCCCTCGGGCCCCAGCCGCATTCGCTTCCGGAGGCAGCCCTGCATGTAGGGACACGGGTAGAGATATCCGTGCAGACACACGCACGGGGGTGGAAGGATGAGCAAAGGCTCACCATTTGGGGACGGTGTCGTGCTCCAAGAGAGACCAGGGGAGGAAGAACCTCAGCTTGGCTGCAGGAGTTAAGGAGAGCTCGGAGGAGGAGCCCCAGCAGGCAGCGGGACCAGAGCATGCGGGACAGCGGGACTGGGCGGGGGTGGGGGGTGGGCTGGAGGCTGACAGTGGCCTCATCTTCCTTTTCCAGGATGTGTTCATGCCCTACACACCAGAACCTGGGAGCTCCTATCCACCGAAATGCAGGACGAGAGAGTACTACGAGAGCACAGCTGGGTTGTGCTGCAGCAAGTGTCCGCCTGGTGAGCGGTGGGGCAGGGCAGGATGGGGCCCCTGGGCCTCCGCCCGTCCATCCCTCTACCTGGCCAGGCCCCAGCTTTCTTTGCTGGCTAACTCTGAGGTGTCCTTTAGAACTCAGCTGAGCTGTCCCTCTTTCCTGAAGCATCTGATCCCCAGCAGGGCTCACAGATAAATGGATAAAGAGATACACACTCCTGGCTGTCAGGAAGTTTGGGGAAGAGGAAAAGACCAGGGGATGATGGCGACAGAGCAAAGGGCCCTGCTGTATTATGGGGCCCTGGGAAGATGTCTCTGAGGGGTGGCACTGGCCGAGCCCTGCAGGAGGGGAGGGAAAGAGGCAGGGTGAGTGGCATCTATGGTGAAGAGTTTAGAATCAGGAAGCCCCCAGAGGCTTGGAGTCATTTGGTCGAGTTGTAGGATGAAGGTGGTCATTTCCTAAAGCCATTTTAAGAAACCCCAGGCTGGACCAGAGAGATAGCTCAGTAGAATAAGTGCTTGCCTGGCAAGCGCAAGGTCCTGAGTTCAATCCCTGGCACAAGAAACCCCAGGCAAAAGGACCTTGCTTCTATTAACTGTATATTTTATTCTAATAATCTCAGCACTCTGTGAGGCTGAGGCAGGAGGATCTCAAGTTCAAGACCTACCTGGGCAATTTAGCAGCTTAGTGAGACCCTGTCTCAAAATCAAATTCCGCTAGATTAGCACAGCAGTGAACTTGGCAGGATGGGGTGGGTGGAAACAGTACAGAGAAGGTCAGACTCCTTCAGGGTCTGTCTTGACATTTTCCTGTTCTCCGCCATGCCTCCCTCTGGGTCATCAAGAGTCTGCCCTCATCTTTGATAGTAGAACTGTGGTCTTGCTGTCTCCTTCCTCCCCCTCTAGTTTTTACTCCTAGGCGCTAGCAAACCAGTTCTTACTAGCATGTGATTGACAACAGGTTTCCAGTGGTGGAATTTCAGGCATCTGGAAATAGTGGAGAAGATATTTTATGAGTCGAAGGAGTTCAGGATGGAGTCACGGCTGGCTCCTGCCAGATGTGAGATGAATCGATGGGACAGTTAGAACTGGGACTCTGGGGAGCAGGGAGTGAGCCCTGTGTTGTGGAAGAAGTCCCATGCCGCTGAGACTTCTGGGCCTTGCTTTGTTAGGCCAGCATTTGAAAGCCCTCTGCACGAAGACCTCGGACACCCTGTGTGCCCCTTGTGAGGACAGCACATACACCCAGATCTGGAACTGGGTCTTAACGTGCTTTAGCTGCGGCGCGCCCTGCAGCTTGGGTAAGTGGATCTAGAGGGCCCCACAGCATTTTGCACCCGCTTGGTGGTGGCCTGGGGGCAGTTCCTTTCCGCTCAGACATGACATTTGCCTTGGGACCTTCCTGAATGCTCCCGGAATTCTCGGCTGGCTCGGCTCCGCTGGGCTGGGGGCAGCTGCGAGAGTCATGCTCTTGGAAGGCTAGAGGAGGTGGTGTCTTGCGGAGCAAGGAGGGGAGGTGGGCGTGGCCAGACTGGTGCAATCGGTGCAGTGGGCGTGGTCAGATAAGGCACGTTGGATGGGCGTGGCCAGATGGGGTGTTGGGTGGGTGTGGCCAGGCAGGCTTGACACTGGCTGTCGTGTCCTCCTCCAGACCAGGTGGAGACTCAGGCGTGCACCCCGCAACGGAACCGCGTTTGCAGCTGCAAGCCGGGTCGGTTCTGCATGCTTGGGATGCAGGACGGCTGCCGGCAGTGCAGACCTCTCCGCAAGTGTTCTCCCGGCTATGGCGTGGTCAGGCTAGGTACGTGGACACCGCGGGTGTTGACTCCTCTGCCCAGACAGTGGTAATGTGAGGGTGGCCGGGTCCTGCACCTCTTGTTAAGCTCCTACTATATACTAGGGTCTCAGGGTCCAAAGGTGAATCAGCTAAGGCCTCAGCAAATGGACAACCAGAAAGATGCTGCAATAGCTGGACTGAGTGGTGTCGCTTGTAATCAATCCCAGCATTCTGGGAGGCTGATGCGGGAGAATCTCAAGTTCAAGCCTAGCCTGGGCAATTTAGCAACTTACTGGGATCCTGTCCCAGTAAGAAATAAGAAGATCTGGGGATATAGGTCAGTGCAAGGGCCCTGGGCTCAGTCTCCTGTACTGCCCTCCCCCTCTCCCCCCGTAAAAAAAAAAGCATGAGAGCTGTTGCAAGGAAATCTACAGTCCTGGATACACCCCTGCGTGCATGTGCAGGCGGTGCAAACACGAGTCCTTGGGCCCCTAGGCCTCCCGGGGCTTCCAGGACTAGGACCCCTTTAGTAAGATTGGAGCCCTGATTGGGTCCCCCGCTGTTCTCTTCCAGGCACTGCGACCTCAGATGTGCTTTGTGCAGCCTGTGCCCCAGGCACGTTCTCCGACACCTTGTCCTCCACAGATGCCTGCAGGCCCCACCGCAAGTGAGTGGCTGAGCTCTGGTTTAGGAAGAAGTGATGGGGCAGGGGGAGGTGGTAGCTGTGTGTCTGGGGTCTGAGGTAGAGCCACCATGCTGGGGGAATTGGGTGTGCAGGACAAGGTCCTGGGGCCGGATGGGACACATGGAAGAGGCCTCAGGGATCGCTGGGGCATGCTGAGAAGGCGTGACACACACCCTCACTTCCTGTCCTCTGCCCTTCCCCTCCTATAGCTGTAGCACTGTGGCCATCCCCGGGAATGCAACAGTGGATGCAGTCTGCGCGTCTGTGCCCCCTACCCTGGGAGCTGCCCCGGGTCCAGCCCGCACACCCCGATCTGTGTCCCCAAGAGCCCAACCTGGGAAGCCCACTCCAGGGCTTAGTACAGTTCCCAGCACCGCCCCTCTGCTCCCCGTGGGCTTCGAGCTCCCGACCGGAAAGAGCAAGAATGGCCTTTCCCTTCCAATCGGTAGGTCCCAGCAGATTCCTTCCTCCCACCTCCTGGCTTCCTCTTCTTCCTCTGTCTGTCTTCCTGACAGCCTACTGTGGGCCAGACTCTCTGCTCTGTCCTGGGATGTTGGTGCCAGTGAGCTGGGTCTCCTCCCAAGACCTGACCCTATCCCTGAGAGTCCCCATGTCCAGAAAGCAGGGTCCTGGCTGCTGTTCTCACCTGGAGTTGTCCCTTCTAGGATTGGGATTGTACCAGGCCATATGTGTGTCACCAGCTGACACTTGTGATCAGAGTCGCTCCTCCTGGGCAATAACCACAGCCACCCTGGGTCCCTAAAGCCTGAGTACCTCCTTTTTATCCTAGGACTGATCGTGGGTCTGACGGCCCTGGGGCTACTGATCATCGGACTGGTGAACTGTGTCATCGTGACCCAGAGAAAAAGTAAGATTTTGTTCTGTCTTCCATGCGTGGTCCAGGGAGTATTGCCAGGTACTTCCAGAAATCCAGCACCAGGCTCACCTTGGGCTCAGATAGACCTTGAGACTGTAGTCTGGTTTTGTTGGAGCTGAGAGCTTAGGGTGGCACTATCTCTGGTCACTCAGCTAGCAGAAGACAAGGGACCCTCAGATTTTCCCATGGGTTGTTCTGGAAGCCAGAGGAGCTAGAGTTGTGGGAGCAAAATTCCACGGACGGGGTGCGTACAGGAGGGGGGTGCGCTAGGGAGAGCGAGGCGGGGCTGGTGGATGCCGTGCATGGCCCAGGCGAGTGGACAGTGCTGGTCACGCTGTCTGACGTCTCTCTCTCTCTCTCCTTGCAGAGAAACCCTCCTGCCTACAGCGAGAAGCCAAAGTGGTGAGTGTCCCTGCTTCTCCTCAGCCCTGTTGGCTGAGTTGTCCCCTAAGAAACCATGAGTTTTTTCTGTGATCTGTCCAGGACCAGGAGGTGCAGGAGCGCTGGTGGCCCAGGGCCTAGGGTAGACACGGCTTTGAAATCACATCATTGTGTTCCCTCTCCTGATTGTGCTGGTGGAGGCACTGCCTGTCCAGAGCTCTTTGCCCTGCGCTGGTATTTCAGTTTCTCACTACCCTATTCTTCCTGTTTTCTGGTTTCATGGCTGTGACAGCTGGCACTCACTTCCTGGTAGTACATGCAGAACAAGCGTCCCTTTAAGTTCTCCTGTGGCCCAGCTGCCAGTTCCTCTCTCCCAACCATTTGTGTGCCCACACATTGGGCACTACAGTGGCTGGGGCATGGCCCAGGTGCCGCTGCTTCCTTTTCTTCCACCCAGTTTGTGTCCATAGAGAGGGGTCCTCAGCTACAGTGTGCTGAAGCCTTGCAGAAGCCCTGTGGGCAGGAAACCAGCTTTCCAGGGGTGAGGACACTGGTCATGATGCACGTGTCGGTGTATTTCTGTTGCTGCCTAGGGTGCCCTTCTGCCAGCTCCCAGGACCTCCCTCAGTGTATGAGTGTGGGCCAGTGCCACCTCTCCCAGTGAGTCCTGAGCCAAATTCTTCATCCGATCATCACCTGTCCCTGGGGGCAGGGAGTCCCACGTACCCTCCTTCCCTTGCTTGGTCCATGCCCACCCATGCTTCCTCAGACAGCTGGCACTGGTCCCTCCTGGAGGGAGTAGTGTCCAGTGTTGCGGAGCAAGCAGAGACTCAGTGCCAGTTTTCTCTCAGGGCTTGGGGACAGTGGCTTCTTTCTGTTGGGAAAAGCAGTAGATGCATACACGCGAGCTCGCACCCCACACTCATGCTTGGACACGGTAGTCACCAGGGCAGAAGACATTTGCTGGGTGCCGAGTAGGTGCCAGGCGTGGTGCTGAGTGTCGTTCGTCCTCACAGGTGCACTGTGACACACAGGAGGATGCTTCTTGCTCCAGTTTTACAGCCCAAGTCACTTGGCCCAGAGAAGTGAAGTAACTTTGGCCAGCTGATAAATATAACGTAGGGCACAGCGGGCCTGGCAGGTTAGCTCAGTTGTCTACAGTGCCTGCTTGGGCAAAATCAGTCAGGGGCAAGGGACTGCACTTCAATCCCCAGCACCATATGGTGCACCAGACCTACCCTTAAGGTGGCCTGAGCCAGCCAAAAAAAAAAAAAAGAAAAAGGAAGAAGAATGTAGGGCACAAACCCAGGGCTGTCTATGTCATTGCCCCAGCACACCCACACTGGGCCTTTCTTAGGCACATGGCCTCCACACGTGGACACATGCTCAGCCAGAGACAGACAGACAGACAGACAGACAGACAGACAGACAGACAGACCGCCCCCCTCCACACACACACAGGAGCCAGCTCAACCTGCATGGTGAGCTGAGCCATGAGCTGAGGGTCTGGCTGGCTGGGGTCCTGACTTTGCAAGCCGCTTCCTCTCTGCTCCCTCGTGGGGTTCCAGACTCGGGTGGTAGCTGTTCCTAAACTTTGCAATTTTCGGCTTTGGAACAGGGAGGTGGGCTGTGACCTTTGGGGTTTCTGTTCTGCCTAGTGGTTCTAACCACCAACTGAGGGGTGAGGCCCAGGCAGAAAAGCCCCTTCTCTGGAGGTGATAGGGAGTGACATTTGGATTCATCGCCTTGGCCTCCCAGCTCAGGCAGGGCTGGGGGTGAGGAAACAGTGCATGCAGGTCAAGGCCAGGCACAGGCATCTGGAAGCCACTGGTGGGAGGGGCTGGGAGCCAGAGGCTTCAGCAGTTGGCTGGAGAGGACCACCCCAAGCCAGACAGATGTGCGCCTGCCTCTGCTCAGACCGCATCTGGAGTTGTCTGTACCCCTGGATGGAGCCTAGAGTCTTAGCCTTGGTCTGGGTCGAGGTTGGCGGCACCGTGCCTGTGCCTGTCCAGCCCACCCTGTTCACATGCTGGCCCTCTCACTGTCCCTTGGGTGCCAGGCATGTCCTGCTTGATGTTCTTGCACCTTCGTTCATAGCCCAGGACTTCCAGCAGAGACGGCTGCTGTCTTCTTTTTGTCTAGGGCTCAGCAATCACCCAGCGCCCCAAGGCTCTGTGACTGTCCAGTCCATGTGGACAGACAGCACACAGCCCTGCAGTGGTATTTTTGGGTGTCCAGACACTGGGGTCTTTTTTTTTTTTTTTGGTACTGGGGATCAAACTCAGGACTTTGCACTTTTCAGGCAGCGCTTATGCTGTCTCCCTGCCCCTGAAGCCAGGGGTCTTTCTTGAGTCTCCAGAGTGGAAGCCCCAGACACCCAAAAAAGATGTCATGGGTTTTAGCTCAGTATCATTGTTCCTACCTGTGACTTTGGACAAGTCACTCAGCCACTCTGGGCCTCAGTTTCCACACCTGCAAAGCCAGGATAACCCACTCAGGAGAGTCAGTAGAGCAGTATCCGGAGGGACTTGGGCAGAGCAGGGCCTTGGATGGCCCTCAGATGCTAGCTAATGTCTTACTATTGTTCTGTAGGAAAAAGAAGTTAGTAAAGTCAGAGCAGCAGGGTGGGGACTTGAGAGGGAAGCTGAGGCAGCACAGCTCTAGCCAGAATGAAAAAGGCCGCAGTGCCGATGGGTTGACTGACTACAGGTCAGCAACCTTTTCTGCCAACCCACAACAAAGAGGGTGTTAGGCTTGTGGATAGCCCATTCTCCCTGATGGCAGCTTAGCCACATAACCTGGTGGCTGTGTCCTGTGAGACCCTTCACAGACACACTGGCTTGCCGTTCTATCATTGCATATTGGGAAGTCTTATTGTTCAACACGTTTTTGAGCCATTTAAACAAGCTGTACAAAAATAAGTAGCAGCCGTGTATGGCCCACCACGGTACTTCGCCCACTTGTGAATTAATAAGCTCACCAGGCTGAGGCAGGAGGACCTTTGGCAGCTTGAGGCTATCCTGGGCTGCATAGTGAGTTCAAGGCCAGCTGAAACCACACAGCAAGGTCCTGTCTCAGAAACAAAAATCAGAAAAACCAAACTAAAACTCTCGTGCAGGGCTCAAGTACAACAGGCATTGTTCTTAGCACTTTCCTGTTCAGTCTTCACAACAACCCTGTGATGTGAAGTCATTAGTCTTCCTTTTTGATGCGAGGCACAGCAAGGTTAAGGCAGCTGGCCCAGCGTCACACCAGGCAGCGGTAGAGCCCTGATTGACCCGTGCAAAGGTCCATCTGGGGTCCATAAGCTCTGCTGCTAGGCTTGGCCACCTCTCCCGATGCTGACGGGCAACCTTAGCAAGGGGGCTTCCCTTCCCTGTCCTTATTCACAAGCAGGATGAAAACCCTGCCCCACCCCTGGGACTATCTGGTGAACAAGGCCACACCGACTTCTCTGCCCCATGAGTACACGCTTAGTAGGGCAGCATGTTACCCATAGCAGAGAGCAAAGAGAATCACACCTCCTGACCGTGCATGAGAGGAGCACACAGGCGTGGGCAAAGGTGTGGCGTCAGCTGTGAAGTTCGCATGCGGGTAGGTAGCAGGGTGGGACGTGGCTGGGGTCTGACGTCTCTTCCTCCTCCTGCAGCCTCACGTGCCTGTGGATAAGATCCGGGGTGTGACCGGCACGGAGCAGCAGCTACTGCTCACTGCAGCACCCAGCTCCAGTTTCAGCTCCCTGGAGAGCTCGGCCAGTGCCACGGGCACCAGCACGGACAAGACCAAGGCGTCTGGGGAGACCGGGGCCAGCCCCGGGACATCAGGTAAGAGGCAGGAGCGCACTGGGACTGGTCCTCTTTGTATGGCTGTCCCTTGACCTATGACAAGATTATGCCCCAGAACCCCATCCTACGGGAGATATCTCAGCGCAAACTGCACTTAGCACATTGGGCCTAAGTAGCTTCCTGCCTACCTATCATCACTGTGGAAAATTTGAAATTCTTTTTTTTTGAAATTCTTTTGGTGGTTGTTGTTTGGGCCTTTTTTTATTGTTGTTTTTTGAGGTAGGGTCTCGCTATGTAGTTCAGGTGATTCTCCTGCTTCAGCCGCCTGAGTTACGGAATGACAGGCTTGCACCACCATGCCTGGCCCCGAATTTGAAATTCTAAGTACAGTTTCTACTGAGTGTGTGTCAGTTTTGCGCCTATGGAAAGGTAAAACATCTCAAATCAAATCATTGTAAACTGGGGGCCAGCCATATGTGTGTGTTACCTGGGTTGTGTCCCGCCTACCTCCTCCTGGGCCCTACCCCCAGGGGCCCCCTTGGTTAGTGCCCAGCCTGTCCCTGCCCCACTCTCAGTAGAGCCACAAGGAGCAGCTTCCAGTCCCTGACTTCACCAAGCTCCCCTGTTTTCCGTGTGCTGGCCCTGAGGACCCTTTTTGCTGGGTACCCTCAGCTGCATTTCACCTTGGGATTGGAAAATTCCCCTGAAATCATCCGTGCTGTCACCCCCAGCTGGACTGGCTGCTCCTCAGAGCTCCCTGAGCCCCTACATATTCGAGGCCAACCTAGGTTAGTGAGTTCAAGGCTGACCTGAATAACATAGCGAGACCCTGTCTCAAAACGAACACGAACATAAGCAGCTGGCAGTGCCTCGGCCTGGGCCTGACCTGGGCAGGTGTCACCGGGTCGGCATTCCCATTGCTCCCCTGAATCCGTGGGTTTCCTTGGTCTCGTTTTGTAGCAGGGAGATGAAGTCTCCTTGCCTGTGCCTGTCTGTTGCCTGCAGTCCCAGCCAGCAGTACCACTGGGAGTGGCCCTGAACTTGGTCGTCCTCAGATCCCTGTCCAGCCTCTGGGCCCTTCGAAATCTGAGCAGCCTTTGTAACCCATCTGAGCCTCAGTTTCCTCATCCAGAGCTGAGTGTGACGCCTGCTTGGCGGGGCTTGGCACCTTCCTGGGGATCACTGTCTCTCCCTGCAGAGACTGACAGCTGCCACCCCTGCTGTCCCTGACCTGCCAGGCCTCTTGCGGATCCTGTGCCACCCCTCTGCCCCCCGCAGCGTGTGTCTGCCGGACTACCCTATCACTCTGACATGGCCCCTGTATTTTCCCCAGCACAGCCACCACCCTTGACAGGGCGATATCGTGCTATGTAGTTCAGGCTGGCCTTAAACTCATGGCAACTCCTACCTCAGCTCAGCCCCAGAAAACTGACCCTGTCCACTTGTCCCCTGTCCCCCTGGGCTCCCCTCCATCCCCATTTCTCGGCCTGTGCACCAATGCCCTCCCCTATACCCCTAGCACCTCTCTCCACGTGGGGTGCCCCTAAGCCCCAGACTTGTGCCCCAGCCGCCCCCACAGTGTCTCATTCACAAGGTGCAAAGGCTGTGGTGACTCTTGGTGACATTTGGGGTGGAAACTTCCTTCCAGCCTCATGATTTCAGCACTGACTCACCTGGGCCTGAGTGGTGGCTTTGAGCAGGGCAGGGCAGAGCAGGTAGTGCCATCCTTCCTGGGTTCTTGGAGGAAGTCTAAGGGCTGGCCAAGGTGGGAGGGAAGAGCCGCGGCCACACCCTGCCCTGTGCTCACGCTGCAGTGGCAGTGGCTGTCAGTCCTGGAGGAGCTGAGGCTCCGGAATCTATTTGTCCCCTCCAGTTGGGCCCTCCTGCCCTGAAGCTGTTCTTGCCATCTGCTTCAGGTCTGTGGCCTGCTGTGGTTAGGTCCCTGGCAACTGACTTCCAAGGGAGACCATACAGCCAGAATCTTTTCTTTTCTTCCTTTTTGGCAGTGTTGGGGACTAAGCCCCAGGCCTTGAGCA